GTTGGTGACGACGGCAGGCATTTTCTTCGGTCGGGACAGCGCAGGTGTTTCACGATACTCTATGGATTGTGGATTCTCCATGTGCAGATATTCGTGCCCGTCTTGTTTAGACTGTGCCATGATCGTGTACACTCAGGCTTGCGCCCGTCACAAAAGGTAGAGATAGCTTACTGGCTCTAGACCCCTCACCAGCTGGACCTTGGTATTCTTCTCTACTTCGTATTCCGAGCCACTCTCAGCAGTGCCGGCTCCGGAGTCCCGCAGGGCTTTACCATCGCTCTTGCTCTGGTCGTCAACGATCTTGTCGTAGCGCGACTTGCAATTTTTGGACGTCCTATCCTTGAACATCCTGACCAAGGGCTCCTGGTTGAGAGTCTTCCAGCAGGTGTCCCACCTTTCGCCGACCGAACGCCCGCTCCCATTCACTTTCCACACTTCGTTCTGCAGACCTGTAGAGGACAAGGGTGGGAGCGCCTTTGAATGTCGTAGTGGGGACTTGCTTCGGCTCCATTTTTTACACCAGATATATGTGCGTCTTGAGTAGAGGAGGGAGCATAGGTCTCGCCACTAAACGAGTCCGTGAACACGGGCCGTCTTGCAGCGCACGGAATGGCTATTGCGCAGAGTGTCAACTGCACCGGGTCCGCGGTGCTTCGCAGTAGTTGTTTCGATATTCTTCCGGGTAGACTGCATCTACTGTGGCTACAGCGGAATGCAGGATAAGTAACGTCGCGGGTGATCTCTTTTAACATGATGCAACATGATGTGCCACGGGTAGACTGCATCTCCTGTNTATGTGCGTCTTGAGTAGAGGAGGGAGCATAGGTCTCGCCACTAAACGAGTCCGTGAACACGGGCCGTCTTGCAGCGCACGGAATGGCTATTGCGCAGAGTGTCAACTGCACCGGGTCCGCGGTGCTTCGCAGTAGTTGTTTCGATATTCTTCCGGGTAGACTGCATCTACTGTGGCTACAGCGGAATGCAGGATAAGTAACGTCGCGGGTGATCTCTTTTAACATGATGCAACATGATGTGCCACGGGTAGACTGCATCTCCTGTGGGACGCAGCAGCGGATCCGCGCCCACCATAATATTACGGTGGCACATGATTAATAGGAGCAAATCAAAAGATATGCGTTTCGGAGTGTCACTTTCGCAATACGATGCGCAGCGTAGCATACGATAGCGCAAATTGACGATAGGGGAAAGGCGGTCACGATGAAACAAAATGTGTATATATATATATATTGCAAATTGCTTGAGTTATGGCTTGCCGTGTACCTGAGCAGAGACTCAAAATCGGAAATAATGCCCAGGAACATCCGGCCAACAATGATATCCCCACTTCTCGCCCTGTAACTAACATTTTTAAGCGCCTGTCGGCGTACAGTAGCGCAAAACGCTTCCATGACGAAGGCGGTCAATACGCAAGAAGNTGTGTATATATATATATATTGCAAATTGCTTGAGTTATGGCTTGCCGTGTACCTGAGCAGAGACTCAAAATCGGAAATAATGCCCAGGAACATCCGGCCAACAATGATATCCCCACTTCTCGCCCTGTAACTAACATTTTTAAGCGCCTGTCGGCGTACAGTAGCGCAAAACGCTTCCATGACGAAGGCGGTCAATACGCAAGAAGATAAAACATGAATGCAGTTGACGTGTGGCAAGCTGCATCCGGGGTAAAGTTTGACGACATTTGAATATTTTGTATGTTTTTTTCAAGGACAACTGCAGCAGCTGGAAGCAGGGACGCATTCCTTCGCGCATAGCAATCACATATGTGTGCTGCTGCACGCTCCTGCTCAAGCTTAGCGCTGCGTCTGTCCAGGGCCAAAGCATCTCTCGCCGCTGCCGTCTTGGCTCGCTTTCTCGCCTTCGTCTCGCGTCCACCGACACCGCCGGTGGGCTTGTTCCTGCCCTTCGGTTTTGTCATCGGCCGATAGTTGGGGGAGGCCCCTCTTCCAGCGTGTGGTACTCGACAATGGCTGCGTTGTTTCAAAAGCTGGTCTGATGGTCCCGCGAGCCAAATCATAGGGTTTCCAAAAAGTTCTACTTGCGTTGCTATTTCTTCGTCGTTTTGTTTTTTTTCGCCTCCCCACATAAAAATACAGTCAAAAAGTACCCTATACATCGCTGGCCACGGCTGTACCTTGTCGTTATGTGATGAGAGCAAGACCAGGCCCATTTGAAACCTGTGGTTGCCATCTTTCATTTGATGTGTGGTAAGTCTACTGCCCTAGCTTTACTGTGTATATAAAGGCTTTGGACCATAATGTTTGTTTCCTGCGATTGAAAAACAATTGCGGACACGCCTTGTTCAGATTTTTTTTTTCGCCGGAAGCAGGCAAAAATTTGCTCCGATTAATTATGTGCCACCGTAATAGTCCGGCTATGTGCCGTTGTGTAGCGAAAAAATACTACATAGTCGAGTACACCTTGCGCTTACAATTTTGTGCGCACCTTTGTCCTGCTGGTTCCATCTAAAGGCGACATATGACATTCTTTGCAAGTAGACTGCATCTACTGGGAGATGCAGCGGCTTCGTACGCCCAAAAAACTCGTCGCTGCTTTTAAATTTTAAACATGATGCCACATGTGACGTGCATTTTTTCCACGTCTGAACCAGTGCAAGAAAGTCTCACCTTCTTCGCCAAGCAAGACTTCTATCTCCCCTACGAACACCGAATATAGCTGTGTGTTCCTACCCTACTCCGCTGCTATTCGATTGAACCTTTCGTATATGTTGTGTACTCGTTGCACCCTCGTTGCCAAGGATCAACAATCTGGTTCGGAGTGGCTGTCTCTTTTACAGTTCAAAAACAGCGTGCATGTGTGCGCGCGCACATGGGTCGCTCCCTCAACCCCAGCAAAGGAAACAACTAACTCCAGCACAGGAAATCGCACCAGTACGGAGACAGCAAGTACGTATACCACTGCTGTGGCCTGCTGCTCCTGCAGTGCTGTGTCGCGTTCGGAGCGTATGGGGGTGGGGTTTGGGGAGGGAACACATCCAAGCCAACAAACGCCTCTCTCTAGAAAAACAGAGCATACCCTTGCGCGGGGAAAGACTCACCCGCCCTTGCCAGCGCCAAGTCGTAAGTAGGAAGCCACTTCGTGCTGTTCCTAACCCTAGCCTGCTTTGCTGCTGGTGCTGCCACGACTTGGACATCGTCGCCGCCTCCCCCGGCCGCTTGCTCCTCTCCTCCCCCTGCCTCGAGGTCTCGGGCGTGCTGCTGGCCTAGAGCCGCAAAGCCCACCCGACCGGCTGCCCGTGCCGCCTCCCTCTTGGCAACCTCGTCGCGCGCCAGATCCAGGGCCTTTGCGCTGGGCATTGTCTTTCTCTTTGGGCGGGTGCTGGACATGTTCGTAGCAGACTGCTGTGTGTGCGTGTGGGTCTGGTGTGGTGGTGGTGGCTGGTGTGGGTGTGTTGTTTCGAAGCAAGTTGCTTAAATAGTTTTCTTGGCAAAAATTTCCACAAAACGAGCCGCGCTCGGCTCTTAAATCGAAATATTTTTTCCTTGTTTCAGGTTCTGGCGAGACTGTCAGGAACGATCCTCAGAATGATGGCTTAACTCAAAGTGTATACCCTTATTTCAGCTTTTTTGGGGGTCCGAAACTGTCAATTACATGTATAAAAATGTTGTATGTGGGGGTGAGGGTCAGGTAGCCCCACAACAGTGGTGAGGCCATACGAGTTGGCTGAGTAATTAATTTGGGGGAATGGAGCGGAGACATAGAAGGGTAAGACTATACCCACGAGGGTTGAGGGTATGGTTTTTCTTTCGTCTGTCGGTGTTCCACACGGTGTCCCGACTTTGTCATTCAGTATAGGTGTACGAGTAGGAGAAAAAACAATGCCAGAATTATCGATCAAAACAAATGTCGCATTTTCTCAAAATTGAAAAAACTCTGCAGTTATCGACGTGGCTCGACGAGGCGATCACGCATATCGTTGTTTCATGTTCCAACTTTGTTTTTTACAAAAGTTATTACACAAAACGCGAATGGAAAAAATTGTCCTGGACGGACCACACGCTGTGAAAGAATTGAGCAAGCTTCAATGTTCACCTACTGCTGTACCTATGGGGTTTCGCTCAAACCAGAGGCCCACAGAGATGCGTAGGCTCTGTGCTACCCCCAGCAGGCATCATTCACTCTCAATAGTGGTACAAACTGGCAGTAGCAAAAACGACAGCAGCACCAAGCAGTTACCGTACAGTTAGTCATGTTCACAGCACGGAAGTTGGGTGGTCACTCTCTCAACTTCGAGGTACTTACCTAACCAGTTTGTTGGCCAACCCCGAAATCTCGCTCTTGCTCAACCTACTCCCCCCTTGCCTCTGCGTGGTGTGTCTTCCCTCGTTTGAGGCGGAATCGCTCCAGAAAGCCTTCAGCCGTGCTACGACGCTACGACAAGAGAGCAAGAGCGCCCGCAGCGAGGCATTCTCCTAGATCTACGGAGATCTACACGCAGACTGGGCCCTGAGCCAGTCACCGCTGAGTCTTGTTGCAGATATCCGTAGATCTACATACAAAAGACTGCCTTTGCGTGACGTCACCCGAGGGTCGACAGGCACGGCCCGCCACGCCACGATCCAGGCAGAAGTATCCATCAGTTTACCTACTACTGCTGTCGAAGGAAGACGTTCGCGGTGTGGTGGGCAACGAGATTAATGGGGTTGCCAAGGCAGTTGAAGCGTCCCCTGTGTAGAGCAATCACAAATATCTGTTGCGTTGTCGCTTGGGCCGTGCTTGTTTCGCCGACGGCACGACCAGCAACACCAGCACCGGACACAGACACGACGTATTACCTTGTGGGGGTCAGCGGGGGCTTGCAGGTAGGTGTTTGAGCCAGAGGTTGCCACAACGCTACGCGCGAAACATACTGCAACGTGGTTGGAGCTCATCAACTGCTGAAGTTGTGCATGGTTCAAATACTCGAGCCGGCAAACTAACAATACTTCAACTTTATTCTACCATAGTCTAATTGGGGCGTGCTCTCCAACTGCACGCATTCATTTGTACATACATGACAGTACCGTCACAGCCTGGTTTGTCTTCCCTTTTTCTGGGGGTAATTCTACTTGAGTACCTACGGAGCAGTATAGTTTACGTCGGGTTGAGGCTCAATTGCTTACTCTTCTAGAACGGGATACTGAATAGACTCGGGGTACTGAATAGACTATACCTGTGGTGGAGTGCAGGTTCCATCGCGAAAGGAACTGCTACTGCTGTGTTTCTACCTGCGACAGCCATTGTCTAGGACCTTTTTTTTCGAGAACAAAAAAATATTAGAATGTATCTCCGATTTTTTTGGGGGGGTCAGACAAAATGCTCCTCAGACGAAAAGAGGGTCAGAATTTTTGGAATCTGGGGCCGGTAACGGTTCACGGTTCTATTTTTCTGAGGCTGCCCGAGTTTTTATCCACGGCTCAGACAAAAACTTCTCACCAACCTCATTTTATCTGAGGCTTGGGTGCCTGTTCAGCAGGCTCAGTTACTTGATATTTGAGCAGCAACATTGTAGCGTAAACCATAAAAGATGGCATTGCATGATACAGATCCTGCCGACGACGCCACAACGTTAAGGAGGAACGGAGAAATAAAAGAGGGAGGGAGCAAGTTCGTTGCTCCAGGCTTCGGGTACTCACAGTTGTTGTTTGATCTCTTGTTTTAGCCTTCTCAGACCAGGTCCGCTCAGCGCCCACTCGGGAGAGTGAGGGAGCAGGGCTGGGATTTTGATCTTTTTCGAGCTATTTCAATACCCCTCAACGACGCCAACTATCCATATCCAAAGAAAATTGAAAATATCCAATAAGCGCTCATACAACGTACATGAAACGCTCGTACAATGCTCATACCCTAGTTGCTCCATTACACTCGTCCAAGCTTCATGTCACCACCACTGGACAGACAGGCCTGCTCCTCCTTCGATGCGGGCGGTGTGTGTCTATGTGTAGATGACATGTGGTGATCGCTGTGGAAGGAACCGAGGGGAGGGTGGGATGAGACAAGGTTCACCAGCAGCCTCAAAAAGAGCAACTTTGTTACCTACAACCGGTTCAGGAGAACACCCATACCATGAGCTGTAGGCCACTCGAACTGCTGGGAGATGACCCAAAAGTTGTCTTATGTTACTATCTATCGGCGCTATCTCCTCTGCACAGCTGTTGCGGTTTGGAACGCAGCTTGGAAAATCGCTGTGTGAGGGGTGTTGTTCTAGGTTAAGCTGCTGTGGCAGCTGCTTGATGCTGCTGCAGCTAGCTAGCTGCTGCTGCTGACCGCCGCCTCTCTTTCGGTTGATTGAAGCAGGACGCCACCTGAGCGGCTGAGAGTTTGCTTACTAGAAGCCTTGACAGGGTATTATTGGCGGTAACAACACCCCCGCTAGATACTCCTGGCACCTTGGATGACAGAGGGCACCACCCAAAACCAAGCAAACGTACGTTCTTGCTTGGGGAAAAGAAGAGCGTGGGGAACGGCGCGCGCGAGGCTTTTTGGCCAATCAGCGGCGGGCCGTGGCCACGTCCTGCCGACAAAAAATCTGAGTCTCTTTTCAGATCTTTTTTATGCCAATTTTTTCTGGGCATTGTGTCTGGGCAATACCACACATATTTCCGAAACTCCCCATCGTTGGGCCGGTTCTGTCCTTCTGTCTGTCTGTCTGTCTCTCCCTCTCCCCCCCCCCCTTTCTCTCTCTCTCCCTCTCTCTGTGTGTGTATCCCGGCTGGTGTGACAGGATGGATTCGCTGCCCGTCACCGGCTAGACTACCACTCCGGCCTGGAAGACGAGAGCAAAGCGCTCCTTGTGGGAAACGCCCTCGTGAAGGGACACAAGGCGTTCCTTGACGTGAAGCAGAAGGTCTGTCTGAGGCCAGCGCAACTGATTGTCGCGGGCAAATAGCCGACAGATACCCCCCCGCTACACCCCCCCCCCCCCCC